TTTAGTTATTATTTGTGACCACTTTTCCTGGCATGAATTAAATGGCCATAACTCCTTAAATATTGAGTTTTTGGCGTTTTTAGCTATTATTTGTAATCACTTTTCTAGGCATGAATTATCGAATATTTTAAGATGGCCATAACTCCTTAAATATTGGGTTTTCGGCGTTTTTAGCTATTATTATTAATCACTTTTTAAACTTTAAACTATCAAACATTGGCTGTGGGTATAAATCTGTTGGCAAAACCGACTGATTCTTTTTAACTTATTAAGTTAAATTTAGGTTTGTCGTTGTATATATTTTTAATATTTTTAACCCGTTTCTCGAATTATTTAATTCCCTTTACTCCCAAGATTACTTTTAAGCGCTTAACCTGAAATTTTCTATTTTGCATTTAACCTTCTTAAGACGTTACGCTGCGTTTCATGAAATTAAAACAAAAAAACATTTAAATAACATCAATGAACAACATGTGTTTTGCCAATAGAAAAGGCGATTAAAATTATTACAGGCTTCTTAAGATACTCGAAATGAGTACTTAAATGCCATGCTGAGAACGTGTGTCTGTATGTGTTGTATTGTTCCACAGAAATGACACGTCAAAAGACAATGTTAATGAGGAAGAAGGAGTTCACAATGGAAAGAAGTACCTACTTGTTAGGAACTTCAAACATTGTCAACTGTTTAAGCATCTGACAATGGACAGCGTGAGCATTATGTGCGTATTTGACATACCATCATCGGTCATGAATAGAAAGGTTTCGGACAAGAAAATCCGCTTAAGTGACACATTCATATTCATCCAAACACACGCACACACACACACTCGCCATAAAAACAATTCATTCAAAACGGTTTGACCGATTTGGGTGAAAGTTGTGCGTGTGACCAGTTAGCCAACCAACCATTCATTCTATCCTGCTCCTATGACATGTCTCACTTGTCACACAATGACAATTTGCTTGAAAATGCGATTAAATGGAAGTTAATTGTCAGAATTATAAAGAGTTTTAAATTGTAGGTGATTAAACAAATGAAGGAGTTCTGGGATCGGGGAGGTGGAGGGATTTGTGCATGTTTTCTAAATAACTCTATTATATGAATAATTCTATTATTGTCTTAATAGTGCGATTGTGGAAAATTTAAAAAAAACGGATAATCTCTTATAATTTTTAAACAAACTAGAAATATGCTAACTATATGAAATCTGTGACAGATGCAGCAGTATATAAACATAAATTAGACTTACTTTGGATCTGGTACAGACTATAGAAGAATATATTTCTTAACTGATTTGGGACTGGACATAACGTACACATAAGTCCAACCACTCCGGGTGAAACCTTAGTCACCGGTTAGCAAAATAGGCCAAATCACAATATGTGAGATGAAAAAACTGCAGCCAACTTCAGACTGCAGTCATTTCTAAGCCACTTGTCTGACAGCTGTTAAAATTATTCCAGTGACAGCTCATTATATTGTTTACAAGCGTACAAAAGCATTTTGGTGAGAATTTTCCAGAATAAAGTTATTCGTGATGGAATTCAAGCGTGATAGTGTGATTTCTTTATATTTGGCTGGAAAACCACAAGTGGCTATCGTTAGAACACTCCAGCATTTAAATGTGACTAAATCTTTTGTGTCTCGTACCATCGCTCGTTACCGTGATACTGGTAGCGTAGCCCGACGACAAGGAAGTGGACGGAAGAAAACAGCAACATCAGCAGAAATTGTTCGGAAAGTAAAGAAGCGACTTGATCGAAACATGACCGCGTCGCAGTGGCCGATGAATGGCTCGTGAGCTGAACATATCGCAGAATTCCATTCGGCAAATATTGAAAAATGAGCTCGGGGTAAAGCCATTGAAATTCCAAAAAATGCAAGAACTTACACCGCAACGGAAAGAAAATAGACTCAAAAGAGCTGAGGAGTTGCTTCGCTTGGCCGAAAGTGGTGAACTGCCGAATTTGGTTTTCTCCGATGAGAAAACATTCGTTGTCCAGCAGTTTGTAAACAAACAAAATGATCGTATTTACTTGCCAAAGAGGTCAGCTGAAAATGTGCACCTTCGGTTGGCCACCAAAACTCAAGCGCGGGCAATGGTAATGATGTGGGCCGTCATAACAGCCGATTGTCGCTCTCCGCTCGTATTAATCGAGCGTGGCATCAGAATAAATGCCGAATATTATCGCGATAATATTCTGGAGGGTGTATTGAAGCCTTGGGCACACAAACATTTTGGCCGCAGACCTAGGACATTCCAACAGGACTCAGCACCATCGCACTCAGCACGCGCCACCCAAGAATGGTTACAAAATGAGGTTCCTTGCTTCATTTTCAGCGCAAAATGGCCACCAAAATCTTCGCATACCAATCCGTTGGACTATTGTGTCTGGAGTATTTTGGAAAGCAAGGCCCTAAAAAATACCAAAGTGTCGATCACCTCAAGCAAGCAAAAATACTGCAGAGAAACATTCGGGCAGCGTGTGACGTTTTCATTGGCCGTTTAAAGGCCATAATTCGTGCTAAAGGTCACCAATTCGAACAAATCTAAACATATTCTAAATTTTATGCTATTTCTGAAATTTGTTGCTTTCATTCAACAAAATTACAAAAATAAAATCTATGGCGTTTAACTTTGTTTCAATTTTTTTTTATCTCACTCTGTAAAATAAAATATATCGTATTGCGCTTTTATAACATTCATGCATTAATCAACTAGGCTTAATAGATCTAGTGGGTTAACCTTGCCAGGTGCAGGGATCGCTTCGACATGGGGAGTCATCTTGGTGGTGGAGGAGATCGGAGACAATTCTCCCAATGTGCCGTTTAACAATTCATTCACAGCTAATGGCTCCTCTGTGAACATCTTCCTTTGGTTGTGGGTTTATCTATCCCAGGAAGTTTGGCTGACCAAATTTCCTCCGTATCTATGAAAAGGGCAGGAAATTGTATTCTGTTCTTTTTTACGATCCTCTCCAAACATTGCCTGAATCTAGAGCACTTTTCATGGCTTGGAAGGAAGCCAACATGGCTCGTTTTTTGAAGCAAGGTTCAGATCCCTCTCAGTGTGACAAATACAGGCCTATTTCCCTCCTTTCGCCGTTTGGAAATTTATTCGAATCCGTTATTTTTGGCCCTGTCTGGCACATGGAATTTTATATAAATGTCAATTGTCATCGCTAGTTTGCTAAGGGATCGATTCTTCAGGATTTAAGTGAATGAGCGACTTTCCAGTCGCTACACAGTTTTTGGCAGGTGTTCCTCAAGGTTCCCTGCTTGGCTAGATGTTTTACAACAGTTTTTCTTGCAACATTCCGTTTTCTCTCTCGGGCGGAATCAATGTCCTATGCAGTTCTATGATGTTCTATAACCCTTTTCCGGTCCCCTTGTTAGGTCGGTCAATAGGCGCGTTAACGAGTACCTCGAACTTATACCTCGAGTACCTAAAGATAGCCTTGGATCAGGTCCCTGTCTCGGAGAGGTTCGACCATATTCGTCATATAGACTACGCCCTGTCTAGGAGCAAAGGTATGTATTTCGGATACAGTCGAAACTTGAGGTTGAGGTGTGGTCTTTCACACTATGTTAGGCTCTTGATCTACCGACAGGTGATCAGACCTTTCGTCGCCTGCGCCTTCCCTGACTGGTTTTACATTTGGTCTCACAAGATGGAAAGGTTATTGAAAAGGAAAGTACTTTCCTCTTGTCCCTTCCAAAGGCCAGGCGGCTCCTATAGAGCTCTGGACGATCTACGAAAGTGTCGATTTATTTGCGCCCTATTGCAGAGCGATGCCATAGATAAAAGTATGATAAGGAACTTTAAAGATGCGGACCAGTTATGAGCTCGGAAGCATTTGCCACTAGCCGCCCTTTCCAGGACGTGCTTGCTTCACGGGGATGAGGGACTAATATTATTTCATAGTGGGCATGGGTCGTGTGCAACACCGCCCGGCTGACGTAAGTTAGTAGTTTTAAGTGTATTGTAAATATTTAGTTCAATTCTATTATTTAGTTTGAAAGTTTTGATAGCCCCTTTTTATATTCTCCACCATTCTATGTAAGGTCCTAATATTCGGTATTGTGATAATTTTTAGTGACACTTTTTACCGGAATCGTTTCAAATTTCGTATTTGATTGTTTGTCCAGGTCCACATTTTCGCATAGCCCCCATATAATAGTACATCTCTATATATGGTATTTTGATGATTATTCACCGATTTTTTTTTTCAAGTTTCGCATTTGAATATTGTAATGGCTTATGACAAAAGTTACCTATGCAGGTCCATGTCGTCGTATATACCCTAATATAACGACTACATGCTGTATTTTCAAAATTTTAACAGAATTTTTAACGGATTTTATTTTTTTGAAAATTTCCAAATTCGTTCCAAATGGTGGAGGGTATTCAATGTTCGGCCTGGCCGAATTTATAGCTGTTTTACTTGCTTTTTTATTTTGAAAATTTCCGAACTTTGAGGCCCTGATTTTACTGCTTTTTTAGTTAATATTTTTAGAAATAATAAAAAGAATTTAATTTTAATATTTATTTACATTTTCTTTGTTTTTGTATTTTTTTGTAATTTATTTTATTTAATGAAAAAATTCTTCTCCATAAATTTTATAAATAATTTAAACATTTTTGCTCTGTTTTTTTTTCTACTTAATTAAAAAGTAATTTAACAAAAAAAAATTGGAGATAAATGTCTATAAACTACTTAAAAATTACTAAAAAATAATAATAATTAAAATTTTTTATTTGTAGAATTATATTTTGCACGTTTTTGATTTTGTTTGTTTTTAAGATATCTTAATTTTTATAATTTTTTTAATATATATATTTTTTATTTACATGCTTTTGAAAAAATATTTGAATACATAACCTCAAAATGTGCACATAGCTATTACAAATATTGTATTTTCATGGTATGGGTTCGTGGGTGTGGTTAATTAAATGTGGAATTACTATTTCTAATACAATTTGTCTAGTATTTCGGTATTTTTCTGTTTTTATTGTAGGCAGAGATTCGTTGAACTAAAATTTTGAAGATGTTTGTTTGATGAGAATGTTGTTAGGGAGTTTCTTCAATGTTGAGGGATCAAAGTCAATACAGGGTCGGACAAAAAAAAAACTACTTTTGAGAATAAATTGCTCTATTCCAGAACCTGCTAGTTTTGCTATTTTTCCGATATCATAAAGGGAAAATCGTCTATCGTTGTGAAAACTTTTATATTCTTGCAGTTCTGGAACAGACGAAATATGTAATTTTTAGACCATACTGATTTCGATTTTTTTTTGTTTTGAATTTGAAATCACAATAGGAAGTTTCAGAACAAACTCAATATCAGTCAGTTAGCTTCTCTATTTTTTTGACGTTATCGACAGAAATCGGTTGTCTTTAAACGTAAAATGGTCATGTAAATGTTGAAAATCTACTACTTTCTTTTCGTCGGCAAATTATCGAAAAAATTCGTTAATTATCGAAATTATAAGCAAATGGAAAATTGCTGTCATCGATAGTTGTCGTTAATTCTGATGTTATCTAATTAAAGAATCACACTAATGGCGTAGACAGGGTTCGTATCACTGCCGAAATTGTGGCAAGACAGTCCGAATTATTAATAGCTGCTAGATATTTAATTTTTAGGAATCTAACACAGAGACTCCTGGAGCTGATGACAATACCCAGAATTTCAAATTTTAAAAATCCCCTCACAACTTCCTCATCTCATCTATGATCTAATTTTATCTAAACTGTTATACAACTGTCATACTATTCAATTTTGATTGGAAATAATCTACAACAAATTGGAAGATTAAGGAATTTCAAAAATAAAAACTTTGTTGCTGCTGGTGTTGTTGTTGGTGGTGATGATCTCTATATGCCATTGTTGACGAGTATGTTGCCACCGCCGACGCCGCCGCCGATGTTGTTGTTGTCGACTCTGCTGTCACCTGACCCTGATGTATCGTTTCACTTGCCACTTTGGGCGCCATTAACCATTCACTATTGCCCGTACAAATGGCGTCTAACTAAAATCATAAATGTTGATATTCGCTCATATCGTAGATGGGCATGGAGCTCATGACATTGTGTAAATGAGAATATGCAACGGCAGCAGGCAGCGGAGCCATTTGGCTGGCTACATTAGCGGAACTTTTACCAGAACCAACGGCTGCAGCCGCAGCAGCAGCGGCTGACAGTGCAGGGCTACCAATCAATTGGGCACTGAGCGCATGATCAGCAGCCGTGACATGTGATGTGGCCAGGGTATGTGATTGCTGTTGTTGCTGCTGCTGGTGATGTTGTTGTTGCTGCTGCTGCTGGTGATGATGATGGGCGGTGTGATGACTACTAAGCGTTTGATTGGGTGATAACTGTTGTGCTGAGTGTTGCTGCTGTTGCTGCTGCTGCTGCTGCGTTTGCTGGTGATGATGTGGATGCTGGTGATGTTGTGTCGTCGTATGATGATTGCTACTGTTCGGATTACTGTTGGCAGAACTGGGACCACCGCCATGACTTTGTTGCATGAGAGCACCTTCCATTTCTGAATCACTTGATGAGTCCAAATGCTGTTTGTCAGAATTGCCACTGTAATGAGAATGAAGTGAGAGAGACATGGAGATTAGTTGCTGGTTAAACATGGGAGGTAGAAAAAATGAATAACAATATATACTAGACTTTACATTAGCGGATTTTGCCTGGTTAATTAAATTTAAGAAATCCACCACAATGTAAACGAGGTATAAGACATTTTAGATAATAATCTTTAAATCAACAAGAAATGTAGTTTAAGTTAAAAAAGTAAAAAAGCAGTAAATTCGGCCGTGTCGAACTGTGAATGGCCTCCACCATTTGGAACGAGTTTAGAAATTAAAAAAAAAATCAAAAAAGTCAGTTAAAAAATCTGTTGAAATCTTAAAAATATCGAATATAGTCGTTATATTGGGGTTTATGCGAAGACGTGGACCTGCATAGGCAACTTTTATCATATTTATTTTGGCCCATTCCCGGCGAAGCGCATGTTTGAGGTGATCGACACTTTGGCATTTTTTAGTGCCAACCTTGCTTTCCAAAATACTCCAGACACAATAGTCCAATGGATTGGTATCTGGAGATTTTGGTGGCCACTGTGAGCTGTAAATGAAGCGAGGAACCTCATTTTGTAACCATTCTTGTGTGGCGCATGCTGAGTCCTGTTGGAATATCCAAGGTCTGCGGCCAAAATGTTTGACTGCCCAAGGCTTTATACACCCTCCAGAATATTTCCCGATAATATTCGGCATTTATTCTTATGCCACGGTCGATTAATACGAGCGGACAGCGACCATCGGCTGTTATGGCGGGCCACACCATCACCATGGCCGGCTCTTGAGTTCTGGTGGCCAACCGAAGGTGCACATTTTCAACTTACTTCTTTGGCAAGTAAACACGATCAATTTGTTTGTTTACTAACTGCTGAACAACGAAGGTTTTCTCATCGGAGAAATCCAAATTCGTCAGTTCGCCACTTTCGGCCAAGCGAAGCAACTTTTAGCTCTTTTGAGTCTATTTTCTGTTGCGGTGTAAGTTCTTGCACTTTTTGGAATTTCAATGGCTTTACTTTACAGCCTATATAGGGTAAGTGCGCCTAAGTTCGGCATGTCCCAGTAGTCGGCAGTTTTGAAATATAAACTTAAATAACTAAGAATAGAAGTGACCAAATAATGAAATAATTGCAAAAAACATCAACACTGATCTCTGCTCTCTTTCTGTAAAAAAAACAATGAGCATCGACCATTTATTACGAGAGAATAACGGTTTTTGTCAGTGAGTGTCTTCCAACACGTGCGATAGTGCTGTTTGTAAAGAAAAAATTAGTGGTGGCGTCAACTTAATAATCTATGTAAGTATATTAAAATTAATACTTTTGAAATCAGAAATATTTTATAATAGTAAATAACAGTCTAAAGATCATTTTATAACTTTAAAAAATACAAATTAATCATTTTTCTGTTATATTTTTTAATGCCGACATTAGGGACAGGAAAAAAAGAGATTTGCCAATAGTCGGCAGGGGTTGCCAATTACTAGAAAAATATCATTTTTGACAAATTTCACCAAAATTTGAGAGAAGTATTAAAAAATAATCCAAAAACTACTCAAATAAAAAAAATATTTTTGAGTGGATTTACACAGTATTCGACATAACTATGGTCCTTAAGTCGGCAGTCGCTTTTATTTGTGTTTTTTGACCAACTTTTCTAAGTTAAGTAGGTTTTTTAAAGAAGCTATTTGACGTTTCAGATAGCCAACATTTTTTTTCAAAGATGCCTCCAAAAGGAAAAAGATCATTTCACAAATATACGGAAAACGCCCTGAACGACGCACTAAATGCCATAAGAAGAGGCGATATATCAATTTTGGGTGCCAGTAAAAAGTATGGTGTTCCCAGGGCAACTTTGCAGGACAAACTGTCTGGTAGAGCTCCTGAAGGCCCAAGAAAGATGGGACCTCCTACAATATTAACAACTGCCGAAGAAGAGCATTTAAAAAAGTGGTGTCTAGATTTGGCCAAATGTGGATTTCCGATAAAAATTGACGAATTGTTAAACACCGTACAAAAAATTTTAAATGAGGATAAAAGAGTTACTCCTTTTAAAGACAGTCGACCTGGCAGAAAATGGTTTAACGCATTTTTAAGACGACATCCTGATTTAAGCATTCGGGAGTCCGAGGGAATTACAAAGGGGAGAGCCATAGTAACGGAGGAGACTATAAGAAAATGGTTTTCCGATTTAAAAACGTTTTTAGAAGAGCAGAATGCTACAGATATCTTGGAGGATCCATCCAGGATTTTTAATGGGGATGAAACCAGTTTTTCTATGTGCCCGAAAACTGGAAAAGTTTTAGCGCCAAAGGGTTACAGAAATGTGTATTCAATACAAAAAGGAAACGAAAAAGAAACAGTGACAGTACTATTAGTCTTTTCCGCTAATGGTAAAACTGTTAATCCAATGGTTGTTTTTCCATTTAAAAGAGTTCCCAAGGATGTAGTGAACAGTCTCCCGGAGACCTGGTTCCTCGGAAAATCGGAAACCGGATGGATGATCAGTGACGTGTTCTTTGAATACATTGCTAATTGTGTCCATAAATGGTTAGAAGAAAATCAAGTCCCTAGGCCAGTTTTGCTATTTGTCGACGGTCATAAGTCTCATATGACTATGGAACTTAGTGAATTCTGTGAGAATAATAAAATTATATTGTACGCACTTCCTCCCAATACAACACATATAATGCAACCAGCGGACGTCAGTGTTTTTAAGCCGTTGAAATCTGAGTGGAAAAATACATTGAGGGAATGGCAAAATAAAACGGAAAATATTAACAAAGTCCTTTCAAAATGCACTTTTTGTCCTCTGTTGCATTCCGTGCTGTCAGCAATAGATTTGGAAGACACCATTAAGAATGGGTTCCGGAAATGTGGACTTTATCCGTTTAACCCTGAGAACGTCGATTATACAAAGTGTGTAAGAAACAATTTGGAAAGAATGACAAATAGGAGCGATGCAAATAATGGTTTACATTTAATGGACTTCGACAAAGCAATTCAAGTAATAAACCTAATAAGTTCAAGGCTTAATTCTCGGGGAATTGACGCTAACATAGTTGTTGAAGAGATTGAGTCTCTGAAAAACTCTGAAGGCGAACAAGATATTGAATTATTAGCCAACGTAACCGTGCAGCCCAGTTCATGTATAGTCAATAAAGACTGGATTTTGGAAAAAGAAACCCGGCTACGCTCTTCATCTCCATTAAATGAAAATAATGCACCGATATTGACTTTTTGTTCGTCTCCCACTACATCCAGAAATGTAGAATTGTCGTTAAAACCAACGAAAGATTCACCTAAATCATCAGTAACTAGCGCACTTATTAGAAATGTTTTAAGTCCCGTTAACTTATCCAAACCAGGTAATCTATACAAACGTGCATATATTCTGTAGTGCCCAGGTATAATGCCAGTATACACTTTTTCTTTTTCTAACTAGGTTCTTCCAAGTTTTTACAAAACGAAGAAGGGTCTGTGTCAAAATCGTTTAAAAGCCATATTCAATTCCCTAGATTGACATCAGCAGTAAAACCCAACTCGAGAATCAAGCCTCCAAGTGCAATTTCTGCACTTGCATGGAGGGAGCATATTCAAGCAGTAGAAAATGAAAAAATTGCCAAGGCAAACGCAGTACAAGAGCGAAAACTGGAACGCCAGAAACGAAAATTGGAGAAATTAGAAAAAATAAGAAAAAATAAAAGAGGAAAGAAAAGGGAAAAGCGTAGTTCTTTCAACGAAGAACTTGACAGTGATGTGGAAGACTGATACCAATGCACCTGTGAATTAACTTATTTTATTCCTAATGTTTAAGTTTAAGTTAAACCAAAATGAATTAAAAACAGTAACTAGGTTAAAAGACAAAATAAACTCCAAATATTAAATTTATTCTTTTTTTCTTTTATCTCATTTTTATTTTAATTAAAAATCCATTTACTAAAGGTAACCATACTATTTCAAATTCTAGATTAAACTGTGAATTAGTAATATATAATTGTTTTGTACTATTTGAAATAAAAAATAATATAAAAAATAATATTTTCTTTATTGAAATACAATATGCCGACTACTGGCAAATAGACATGCCGAGCATTGGAAAATGGTGCCGACTACTGGCAAAAAACCACTGTTTTAGTAAAATTGCAAATTTTACCAATTTACTAAAAACAAATTAAATTTTTGTTTATTATTTCCAAAACTAAACAAAATTTGGAATCCAAACAACTTTAGTTTTCTGCAATTGAAAGATTTTACTCAGAATATTGAAAGATTGAAAAAGCGAAAATTCTAAAAGTGCCGACTACTGGTACATTTACCCTATATATATTTTTTTATGTCTAAAATTATTATTTCGATGAGTTACAAACGGAATGACGAACTTAATATACCCTGCATACTATGCATGGTGGAGGGTGTAAAAATATGGGGGAAATGCAACTTCGTTGTAGAGACAAAAGGTCAGTTTTTTCAGTGGTTTTCCAGAAAGAAACTCGAATTTTAAAGAGACATCATTAAATATAACATAGTGTTATTAGTTGACGATAAATCATTGAATGTGAACCACCATAATATTGATCAGCTGTTAAACAGGTTATGTAGATTAGCTGATTAACAGATGCATGGATTATAATGAAGTGTTCTTTGAAATTCAAAGGATTACTATGACACGTTTTTAAGGTATCGATGAAATTGGAAACGAAGAAATAAAATGTCCTTAATATTCAAGTAATGAGTTTTCTAAAAAATTATTTAATTCCACTAAGAATTCTACGCACCTTATCAACAAATCTTGGCATTTCCGTAAACATCCCACAGGAAAACATGAGCCATCCAAAATTTCCCAATTACAATAATTCGTGATACTAATTGACATATGTTATCCAATTTGTTGAACATCAACCTATTTCCCAGCTCCTTAATGTGAACACAACTGTCTAAGCAAATGTTTTTTTTTTTTTTCAGTTCAAATGTCACAGCAGCCACACTCTCCCTCTCTTCTCTC